TGATTGGCTGTCTGGGCCAAGTGTGACATTGATGAGCTGTGCAACCCTGCGCCTTGGGCTGAAAGGTTGAAAACATTTTGATATTAATGTGTGTCTGTACCATGAAAAAACAATGGTTTTGTTGCGACACATTTCTAGCAATGTGTCTCTGTGTGATTGGCCCCTCACTCTTAAGTCGTCAGAGTCAATCAATCAAACTGGGATCCCTATAAATTACAATAAAAAAAAAACTGAATGTGCAGGTTTCTTTATGTACATGATGTAGGTGGATATACAGTATATACAGTATAGGTAGATGTATTTTAATTATAGTATTAATGTTTTTAAAAAGAAACAGAATTTTAACAATGGAAGAATCAATAATAAATAGATTACAGGTGCAGTAAATGTTAGAGTCCCAGGGTTATTGTACAGGGATTGTTCCTGACACTGTGTGTAGTCAGAGTGATGGCTTGTGGGTAGAAAGTGTGCCTGTGTTTGTTTGTTTTGGTTTACAGTGCTCTATAGCGCCCACCAGAGGGGAGGAGTTGGAACAGGTTGTGTCCAGGTGAGATGGATCCACAGTGACTCTGGACAAGGTCCTGATTGGAGGGCAGGTTGGCACCAGTGATCGTCTCTGCAGTCCTGACTGTCCGCTGTAGTCTGTCCCTGTCCTGTTTGGTGGCTGATCCAAACCAGACAGTGATGGATGAACAGAGAACAGACTGAATGATGGCAGGTTGAGATTCCTGAGGCTGGCGCAGGAAGTACAACCTCGGCTGGGCCTTCTTGATGATGGTGTCTGTGTCATCTGTATGCAGAAGTGTGCGAACGTCAGGAGTTTGACAGATTGGTCTCTGGAGGTGCAGTCATTAGTGTAGAGGGAGGAGAGCAGTGGGGAGAGCACACACCCCTGGGGGACGGCAGTGCTAATTGTCCAGGTGCTGGATGTGATGTTCCCCAGCCTCAACCAGCTGCCTCCTGTCAGTCAGGATGGTTGTAATCCACTGACGGGTGGAGGATGAGTTTGGTGTAGAGGATGTCCGGGATGATGGTGTTGAACGTTGAGCTGAAGTCCACAAACAGGATCCTTGCATACGTCCCTGGAGAGTGAAGGTGTTGCAGGATGCAGTGCAGTCCGTAGTTGACAAGGCAAGCTGCATGGAAGGTAATATAATAATGATGTTTCTTTAAAAATAGAAAGAAAGAAGAAAACCTTTCATGAAAGAAAATGTCAGACATTGCTTGTAAAGAGCTGTAAAAGGGCTGCGTTTGACCTTCTTACTGTAGACTGGAACACTGTGAGTCACTCACCCACACAATAATAATAGGCCTGAAGGTTGTTGTTTTTTTTTGTATTATTATTGCTTTATTGCATGTAGCCTATATTTCTCATTCTGGCATCCAGGAAGCCATTTTACATGTACTTTCACCTGCTGACACCAATAACAGAACAATACTGGTGCCTGAGAGGCAGGGTGCTATTTAAATTACACATTTCCATGTTACAATGCGACGTGGCTCTTAACCGGATGGTGGCGCTGTGTCACCAAATATTGCAGCACTCATTCATGTCTATGGCCAGACTCGGACTTCAATAAGATCTTGTTTTATTCGCTTCCACTGAATGAAACAAGACAGAAAAGTAAAATATTCCTCATTCTTCAAGGTCCAGTTAGAATATGAAACATTACTATAGTGCTTAATAAACGCTGTACCGAATCAAAGTACCACAACATGTGTTACATATTCTCTATTTACATGTGGAATAAACTACTTTGCCCATAATGCCACGGTTTGGCTTGTGGACCAATGAGGTGCGTTAGAAGTTATGTTGCCTTCAGGTGAACTTTGTAATTTGCAGCTTTCTATGGTCAGACAGTATTTTCTAGTGCTTTCTACTGTTTCTAGAGAAGAAACACTAGTAATAATATAGCAACAAAACCTACATTGGTGGCTGTTAATTTTTTATTTGTTTTAGCAATCAAATAGCACCAAGCTCACAAGTGCTGAAAAAATAATGAAATATAATGTATAATATTATAATTATTGGCCATCAGACTGTACAACAGCTCTTAGTCAAGGCAGGGAGGACAATAGACAATGGACAATATGGGGTATTACTCATGCCTACTTTTAAAAAAAAAAACGGAGGGTGTTCAACATCTGCCAATTGGAGCTGAGTTGGATTGCTGACAAGCTTGACATACCTGCTGATCAAGGAACATACCACAGAAGAGTACCTTTCTATCACCAATCCTGCCAATGATTACATCATGAGCACCTTTAACATATTCCAATGAGAATGACAACATTAGATCTTAAATTAGGAGAAAAAAGAAGCAGACTTTGTACAGCAGCCAATAGCCCAAGACACACACCGCACACGACACACACACACACAAAAGAGAATAGATAAATAAATAGATGGATAATTTTATTTTATCCCGAGGGAATCAAGCATCCAGTAGCAGCATACACTAGATACATACATACTACATTAGACATACATTAAAATACATTAAAATTAAAAACAGTGCAAAAAAAAATGGGAGGAGAA